AAAGTACAAGTACTAGACAAAGAAATGCAGTTAAGCATCTAACCAGAAGTGCACAGCAGTAAAGTGCAGAGTAATGTGCATATGTACAGGGATATACAGTATATAAAAAAATAACATTATAGAATATATATGAATATACTAGCAGGATAATAACAGTATGAACATTATTAACAGAATGAACAGAGTTAGGTGAATACACTGAGATATATACAGCTATTAAGTTAAGATATTTAAAGTATGAGGTTGATTATATACAGACAGATAGATATTAATACACTATAGATATTAATACACTATAGATAGATATTAATACACTATAGAGAGATTTTAATACACTATAGACAGATATGAATACACTATAGCTATAATACACTATAGATAGATATTAATACACTATTGATATTGATACACTATAGGTAGATATTGATACACTATAGATAGATATTAATACACTATAGATATTAATACACTATAGATAGATATTAATACACTATAGAGAGATTTTAATACACTATAGACAGATATGAATACACTATAGCTATAATACACTATAGATAGATATTAATACACTATAGATTCAATTCAATTCAATTCAATTCAATTTTATTTGTATAGCGCCAATTCATAACAGAAGTTATCTCAGGACACTTTTCAAATAGAGCAGGTCTAGACCGAACTCTTTATAACATTATTTACAGAGACCCAACAGTACCACCATGAGCAAGACCTTGGAGACAAGGGCAAGGAAACACTGCCTGTTAAAAGGCAGAAACCTAGGACAGATCCTCCGGCTCTAGGTGGGTGGGAGGAGAGAGAGAGAGAGAGAGAGAGAGAGAGAGAGAGAGAGAGAGAGATATGTATTAATACACTATAGATATTAATACACTATAGATAAATATTACTACACTATAGATAGATATTAATACACTATAGATAGATATTGATACACTATAGATAAATATTCCTACACTATAGATAGATATTGATACACTATAGATATTAATACACTAGAGATATTAATACACTATAGATAGATAATAATACACTATAGATATTAATACACTAGAGATATTAATACACTATAGATAGATAATAATACACTATAGATAGATATTAATACACTATAGATAAATATTACTACACTATAGATAGATATTGATACACTAGAGATATTAATACACTCGAGATATTGATACACTATAGATAGATATTGATACACTAGTAGATAGATATTAATACACTATAGATAAATATTATAACTAGAGATATTAATACACTATAGATAGATATTGATACGCTATAGAAGATATTAATACACTCGAGATATTGATACACTATAGATAGATATTGATACACTATAGGTAGATATTAATACACTATAGATATTAATACACTATAGATATTGATACACTATAGATAGATATTAATACACTAGAGATATTGATACACTATAGATAGATATTAATACACTATAGGTAGATATTAATACACTAAAGATATTGATACACTATAGACAGATATTAATACACTATAGATATTAATACACTATAGATATTGATACGCTATAAATAGATATTAATACACTATAGATAGAAAGATATTAATACACTATAGATATTAATACACTATAGATAGAAAGATATTAATACACTTTAGATAGATATTAATACACTATAGATAGATACTAATACACTATAGGTAGATATTAACACACTACAGATATTAATACACTATAGGTAGATATTAATACACTATAGATATTAATACACTATAGATAGATATTAATACACTATTGATATTGATACACTATAGGTAGATATTGATACACTATAGATAGATATTAATACACTATAGATAGAAAGATATTAATACACTATAGATATTAGTACACTACAGATAGATAGATATTAATACACTAAGATATTAATACACTTGTAGATATTAATACACTATAGATATTAATACACTATAGGTAGATATTAATACACTATAGATATTAATACACTATAGATAGATATTAATACACTATAGATATTAATACACTATAGATAGAAAGATATTAATACACTATAGATATTAGTACACTACAGATAGATAGATATTAATACACTAAAGATATTAATACACTATAGGTAGATATTAATACACTATAGATATTAATACACTATAGATAGATATTAATACACTATAGATATTAATACACTATAGGTAGATATTAATACACTATAGATATTAATACACTATAGATAAAAGATATTAATACACTATAGATATTAGTACACTACAGATAGATAGATATTAATACACTAAAGATATTAATACACTATAGATATTAATACACTATAGATGGATATTAATACACTATAGATATTACTACACTATAGATAGATATTATTACACTTAAGGTAGATATTAATACACTATAGATATTAATACACTATAGATAGATAATGATACACTATAGATAGATATTAATCCTATAGATAGATATTAATTCAATTCAATTTCAATTCAATTTTATTTGTATAGCGCCAATTCATAACAGAAGTTATCTCAGGACACTTTTCAAATAGAGCAGATCTAGACCGAACTCTTTACACTATAGATATTGATACACTATAGATAGATAATAATACACTAAAGACAGATATTAATACACTATAGATAGATATTATTACACTACAGGTATATATTAATACACTATAGATATTAATACACTATAGATAGATATTAATACACTATAGATATTAATAAACTATAGATATTGATACACTATAGATAGATATTAATACACTATAGATGTTAATACACTATAGATATTGATAATATAGATAGATATTATAATATACACTATAGATAGATATTAATATATAAGATAGATATTAATACACTATAGATATTAATACACTATAGATAGATATTAATACACTATAGATATTAATACACTATAGATAGATATTAATACACTATAGATATTAATACACTATAGATAGATATTAATACACTATAGATATTACTACACTATAGATAGATATTAATACACTATAGATGTTAATACACTATAGATATTGATACACTATAGATAGATATTAATATATAGAGATAGATATTAATACACTATAGATATTACTACACTATAGATAGATATTAATACACTATAGATATTAATACACTATAGATAGATATTAATACACTATAGATGTTAATACACTATAGATATTGATACACTATAGATAGATATTAATATATAGAGATAGATATTAATACACTATAGATATTGATACACTATAGATAGATATTAATACACTATAGATATTACTACACTATCGATAGATATTAATACACTATATATATTGATACACTACAGATATTAATACACTATAGATAGATATGAAAAGGAGAGCAGGGCAAACAGTTTGTGACCTGGTTGGGAGGTACCTAGCAATGCAGCGTGCCTTCTGCAGACATAGCTTGCTCTGGACAGCCTCAATGGTGGGGAAAGGTGAACCGGTGATAAGCTGGGCAGTTTTCGCCACCCTCTGTTTTCCGGTCCGAGGCAGAGCAGTTTCCATACAGTCTGTGATGCAGTTGGTAAGGATGCTCTCGATGGTCCAGCGGTAGAAGTTCACCAGAATTTTTGAGGAGACAGATGAGCCTTCTTGACCAGGGTTGAGGTGTTCAGGGTCCAAGAGATGTCCTCGGAGATCCGGAAACTTGAAGTTTCTGGGTGAACCTCGATTCAGTTGATACGTATGGGGGGGGGGGACTCATCGTTGTCAGTGATGAGGCCAATGTTGTGAACACCAACACCCCCTGTATACAACCATAAGAAAGAAAAATATAATAATAATATTCACAAACTCGCCAATCATAACGCTCACACAATAACACTCTCTCTTTACGGCCCGAGGACAGAACGATGCTAGGTTGTTCTGTCTACGACTGCTGTGAGGCCAGACGTTTTATACACGGCGGATGTCACAGGGAGAACCAACCAGCAGTCGAGAGCCGAGCCCACTTCATTAGCCAGTCAGTGGGGAGATCTACGGGTTGCCGTCAGAGATCTCCAGCAAGACAGGCGGCACACTCCTGTAGAAAAACAGGGACAAAATACAAAGCACACCACAGACGAAAACAATACTAAACAACAATAACTAACTAACATCCGCAAACTTGATGATGGTGTTGGAACCATGTACAGGTGTGCAGTCGTGGGTGAAGAGGGAGTATAGGAGGGGGCTCAGCACTCAGCCCTGTGGGACGCCAGTGTTCAGGGTTAGGGTTGAGGAGGTGTGGTTGTCTTACCGTACAGATTGGGGTCTGTTGGTTCGAAACTCCAGTATCCAGTTGCAGAGGGAGGTGTTGATGCCAAGGTTGCTAAGTTTGAGTATATTATATATACTGTCAATGATACACACAGCTACAACACTGTCTGTCTGTCTCCAGGTGTTCAGTACCTGTCTGTCTGTCTCCAGGTGTGCACGTGTTTGGTCTCTGTGCAACGGCTCTGGTGACTGACATCATCCAGCTGTCGACGGGTTACCACGCCCCGTTCTTCCTCACCGTCTGTAAACCCAACTACACTCTTGCAGGTGTTTCCTGCGACAGGAACACTTACATCACTAAAGACATCTGCTCAGGACACGACCAGCACGCCATCATGGCCGCCAGGTGAGTTAACTGCCACTTCCTGTTCACGCCCTTTTACGGTTGCTGTGCCAGAAAGATTAAAGTTATAAAAGTTTTCTGCTCTTTCTTCTGTCCAACAGGAAGACGTTCCCTTCCCAGCATGCAACACTGTCTGCCTTCGCTGCTGTTTATGTTTCTGTAAGAAAACATTCAAAAACTTTATTCAAATGTTACTTTACAATACATTGACCCTCGATTGGTCCAATTACAAGTGTGTAAGATTTAGGATTTATTGTCACCGTTAGTGCAAATGCAGACAACTGAGCCAGAGCCAGTCTTAATATTGATCAGAATACACTGTATCTTTATGGATTATTGATCAGTATACACTGTATCTGTATGGATGATATCAATCAGAATACACTGTATCTTTATGGATGATATTGATCCTGTATTGACAGTCAGACTGTGGACATATGACTGCCTTTAGCTCGTGTTCCTAGAGTTACGTGTTGTCACGGACATGTTAGGAATTGTTAAAATGTGATATTTACAGTACTTTATGTTTTATAAATAAATAAACTGATGTATTTCCTTTCAGATGTATTTTAATTCGACGATCTCCAACAGCACCAAGTTGCTGAAACCTGTCTTGGTTTTTGCATTCGCTATCGCGGCAGCGTTAACAGGTCTGACTCAGATCACTCAGCATCGCAGCCATCCTATCGATGTCTACGTTGGCTTCCTCATCGGAGCTTTCATCGCTGCTTACCTGGTGAGACCTGGTGGTGAGAGCTGGTCATAACCGGTAAAACTGCTTCTAAGACATTTAAAGATGATTTTGTTCTTCTTCTTCAGGCGTTTCATGCTGTCGCCAACTTTAAGTCCTCTGATGACATGACTCTGGCCCCACCTCCCCCGCCACCAAAGGAGGATCCTCTGCGAGCGCTGACAGAGCGAGGACATGAGTCAGTCTACAACAAGGGCCCTGCCTCTGCCTCGGAGAGTAACGATGAGATAACGGCAGCTCCAGTCCCCATAGACCGGCTGGAGGGTCTCGGGCCCCTGCAGAGGGAGAAGGACTCCATGGGGAGCCTGAAGAGGGCCAGTGTGGATGTGGAGCTGCTGGCTCCTCGCAGCCCCATGGGCAAGGAGACCATGTTGACCTTTAGTAACACGCTGCCAAGGGCTAGCATGAATGTTAATGGGGTGCTGGGATCCAACACAGGGCCAGAGGATCTGGTGCAGCCGGTGCAGCCAGTGCAGCCAGTGCAGCGGCGTCTGAAGGCCGTGCAGGTACCCATGGATCCGATGCGTTCGCAGCAGCTGGTCTCAGAGTGGAAGCAGAAGTCGATGGAGATGAGGGGCCTGAGCGTCCGGGATGAGGTGGATCGTGATGCCAGTGAGGACGGCTCGGAGGTGGGCTCTGTGGGGACCGATGAGGGGGGGTCTCAGGTCCCCATCTACCAGCCTGCAGTGCAGTCTGGGAGGGCAGCCTCTAGTCGCAACCCCACTCCACCTCCAGGGGGCGCCAAAGCTGTGGCGACTCCCAGACCACCGCAGATCCCTGAAGCAGGACCCCCTCCGGTGTCCCCAAAGAGTGCCCTGACCCGGGCCAAGTGGCTTGCCATCCGAGAGAAGACGAGCGGGGAGGGGTCAGTTCGCAGCGCCGCCAATCAGCCGCGACTCATGCAGGTCATCGCCATGTCGAAGCAGCAGGGCCTCCTCCCCTCCTCCTCCTCAGGGGAGAAATCATCTGAGACCACCTCCACCTGCTCCGGGACCTCCTCCACCACTGACTCACCGCACTACCATCCCCCGTTTGAGCAGCGGGAGGGGTCAGGTATCATCACGGTGGACGCCCACGCCCCTCACCATCCTGTTGTTCAAGCCCAGCCCCCTCCTCAAGCCCCGCCCCTCGCAGGTAATGGTAACCCATGGGAGTGGGCGGGGTCGTCCAATGGGGGCGACTCACGAGACACCTACGACCTTAACAGCCTGAACCGGGGAGACTCTGCCGCCCGTGGCAGCAGCTTCAGGCCGCACCGATCCGCCTCGCCGCGTTCTGCAGTCGACCCCGACTTGGCCCCACCCACACCCAACCCACAGGTGGAGACGCCAGCGGACACTCAGCGCAGGGAGATGGCCATGAGACGCAAGACGGCACTAGTTCTGTTGGATCGAGAGATTCGTAACCAGACTGAACAGGAGAACTATTATAAGAGTCTGCAGGGACGAAGGTTCAAGGAGTAGTCTCTTACCCTTTCAAAACAAAAGCCTTATTTTGAAAATAACAGCACAGTACCTGGACAGCACTGAGGACCAAGTGGCTATGCATTTCTTGGGCTTCATTTGATGGAAAATTGAAGCTGCAAGAAATGAACGTTTCCATCCGGGAGGGTCAGAAGTCTTGGTGGCTCAACACTCTGGATAGTTTTAACAACATACATTTTATCTGTGTTATAAAAAGATTCTCAGCGTCCTGGACTTCTGCAGTTTATTTGTATTTGAGAGTGGCACAGTAACATTAATAATAATTCAACAGACCTTTCTCGTAACACAAGGACTTACATAAAACGAATTATATCCATTAAAAGCTTGGCTGAAAAGTCTTAAAAAACAAAAATGGAATCATATCCCATAGGGAGCCAGTGGAAATACTGAGGGTGGAGGTGATGCTGTAGGCTGGAGGCAATGCTTTAGGGTGGAGGCAATGCTGTAGGGTGGAGGTGATGCGTTAGAGTGGAGGCGATGCTGTAGGGTGGAGGTGATGCTGTAGAGTGGAGGTGATGCTGTAGGGTAACGGGGTTGATAACTACAGAATAATAGCGGTACAATGACAGTTTTTGGCTCTTTCCTCACATTGCTGCTGTGTTGCTGCTGTGTTGCTGCTGTGGTCTGTGCGACTGTGGGACAACCACTGTGAGCAGCGCTGGCCGCCCCCCGCTGGCACTTGTGGGGCTTCTCAACTCCGTTTTCACCATCAATTTTTCTACATGGTGGATTTCTTGCTTAAAATGTTCTCAGAAGTTAATTTAGTGACTGTGTGATCATTCTGGGGCTTTGCATTGTGGGATACAGTGTCCGATGCATACCTGAGATTTTTTCAGAATCACTACCACCTTTCAGTTATTTCAAGGTGAATCCAACAGGTGGTAGACAATAATAATAATTACGGCTGTCCCCGGATAGTCGAGTAAAGTGATAGTCAACACAATTTTCATTAGTTATTCAGTAAACCTGACAGTTATAAAACATTTTGTTCTGTTATTAAACACATAGTACAAAAACTGATAAAATAATAATAAATATAATAAAATACCTTGTTCTACCTGATGGCCGGTTCAGTGTTCACTGTTCCACAAGCGAATTTATCTGGATTACCTTCATCTTTGTCAGTGACGACTGTCCACAGTGTTGAGCCACTGAACAGGAAGCTGTAGAGTTTCCATGGCAACTCATTCTGTGGATAATCTGAAGTTCAGTTGAAGTAAAGAGAGCACAGAGACAATTTTAAAGATTCATTCTGGAAGCACAAACATGCAACAAATCTAAAACCTGCAGTGGAGCTCTGTGTTCACATCGCCACCGACTACTGACCACAAGTTCAGGAGCTGCTTACTGCCTCAGGCCCTGCCTCCTCAGAGGGGCGTGGCCTGAGGCAGCGTTTCCAGGATGTGGAAGCAGTTGTTAGAAGATGAACAGGCTGTGGAATCTTGGCAGTGTGACTGCATAGCGGCCATGATGGAGGTCTTACTGATTGTATATTACCTGGACGAGTGCTGTTGCCTTTATGTTGTGATGGCTTGGTTGCTATAGTGATTCTCAGCATGTTTGTTTGTTTCTATGCTGCTCTCTGATTGGTTGAGGCTGTAAGTCTGTTCAGAGGTGTGTGTGTGTGTGTGTGTGTGTGTGTGTGTGTGTGTGTGTGTGTGAACCTGGATGTGTGTATTTATTAAGGATGGACCGATATGAGATTAAATATTTATATAGACACTGATATTCAGAATTTAAAGGTACACTCACTGATGTTGTTACAGCACCTCAAATGGTAGCCATTATGTACCAAGAAGCCTACCTGTGGAGGAGAAAGCAGGCAACTTCAGCGTCCCTTTGAAAGTCTTTCTCCTTCATTAGCTCTTTCCATCTGGGAAAAGGTACCCCGATGTTTACCCTAGTTTTTTGAATTCGCCGGTCACGTTGCCTTTTTAATTCCCTTTTGGCTTTGTTGGTGACGAGGATTCTTTCTCCTGTGGCTCGGCATAAGTATGATCCTCCATTATTAACTAAAGTGCAGTGCAGACTTTCAAATGTGCCGGGCAGTGACAAGCGCCTCTCACTGATCTCCTTCTCGGTTATAGCTGGTTTCAGTCACGTGACGCTGGCTCTGAACGAGAACGCGTTGCGGATTAGTGAGACAGGTAGGCTAGTGCTTTATGTCCCTCTCGGCGGTTATAGTTTTCAAAATGGCAGAACGACATGGAAAGCCTCCGTGGACTTGCCCGTCCAATGTATATACAGATAAGAAATTCTTCACTTACGAGGATAAGTCAGATCATTGGCAGAGGTAATTTTACATCAATGAGGACACATTTATGAATGAAGACATTGATTTTAGCTAATAAAATACTTAAAACACTACACAATGTCCCATTAAAGGCGTGTTCACACAGAAAGTGACACTACATAGAAAGTGAGACAGCTGCTAGAGGAGTAAACTGATCCTGATCTGATCTGGAGGCTTTTGGGATTAAAAAGTAGATTTATCTTTACTCTCTCTTCTCAACCTGTCTGTGGCGAGCCATGGAGGTGCCCCCCCACCCAGAGCTCTGTGATAATACTTCATATTTATACAGAGAGTAGACAGAAGAGGAGATTGATGAAGAAAAGGAAGAGAGAAAGTTGGAAAATCTGTGTCTGTAACTGATTCCAGCTGTCGGTTTTACTTTACTATGAACTAAGTTAACGTAGCCCTGATCAACCAAACGCCGAGTTTTTATTTATTTTAGTATCATTTTGATAAGCTTCTTGACATTAAATCATACAAACATCTGTTTATTTTGGACTCTCCACTGCAGTGCAACAGATTAAAGAGATATATTATAATTATAATATTATAAGATTTACTCACACAAATGATCTTGTGAGTAAACTCATGTGACTAACACAAGGCTAAAATGAATTTCACATTTGGTTTCACACCGTAGTTCAACATGTTCACTTCAAGAAAATAGGAAGTTTCAAAATAAAGTTACATATTACCAAAGTAAAGTTGTTATCTTACAGAATACTTTAATGTTCTGTTGTAGTAAACTGATCAAAACTAAATGTTGCCCCTCAAACATTTACTCTCTGATGGAACATAAAATCAGTCCTTCTGTGAAAGACGCACTTCCCCTGAGCTCGTTGAGGCTCTGAAACAAAACCAAAGAGTGTATCTGTAAATATGAAATATTGATGAGCCAATATGGGGTCTGTGCCTGCTGTTAATGTGTCTGTGTGTTGTTGCATGTGTCAACAGTTTGATTTAAAATCAGACAGACGTTCTGTTTATCTCTGGATAACAAGTTTTTTTGAATCCTGAGAACTGATGAGAGAACTGAAAAGACATTTCCATTTGAATGTAAAAACATGAAGCATCATTTATCTTGAATCTGTACATTTTGTGACTGGAAACAGGAAAAAGGAAAAAACTGCTGCTATAAAAAGAGTTTAATATGTGAAAATAAGAGTGTTTAAGACTGAAGGATGGATGCTGCATGCTCTGTGGTCGTTATGATGAAAGTTCAAAATTAAAAGTTATTCTTGATCACTTTACAAAAGTTATTGTATTTCCAGTCTGATGTTCAGTTTCTTCATTTATTTCTCAAAGCAATTCTTGTTTTTCCATAAAGTAATAATTCAACATTTCAGACAATACACTCACACTTTGTTTCCAAAAGCAGAATGTTATATTTGGTGGTCTGGTTCTGTTCTGGGAGAGCAGCAGCAGAGACCCCAGAGGTACAGAACAGAGCTGACATTGATTCAATCAGAGGAAGCAGCAAAGGTAGGCTGAAGCAGCTTAAATACGGCGCCCTGAATCACATAAACCAATAGGAAGCTGAGGAGGGAATCAGCTGAGAGAGCTTAATTTACTATCTGTGGGTAAAAGTTAATATCTCTTAATGTAAAGTAACATTTTATATATATATATATATTATTCGTATTCATTATTAATACTTAGTATTTGTACCTTGTGGAGCTTTGACTGCAGTAAAGGATTAAAGTAAATCAAACACACTCATGTCCTTCAGGCTCATTATGCAGTTTCCATGGCAACAGTGTTGATGGCTGATGTTGAGATAAGAGCTCCAACACACACATACACACACACATACACACACACACACACACACACAGACACACACAACACACACACACACAGACACACACACACACACACACAAACACACACACACATACACAGACAAACACACACACACACACACACACACACACATACAGACACACACACAGACACACACATAGGTACACAGTGTGTGTCTGTGTGTGTGTGTGTGTGTGTGTGTGTGTGTGTATTTGTGTCTCTAACTGTAGGCCCTGAACTGAACCTTAAAACCCAGTCGTGGTCCTCACAAAGACAGGCAGCCAGCAGCCCACACACACCTCTCCTCCTTCTCGCTCCTTTCTTATTTCCTGGAGGCCATCCAGCAGCCACTGTTACCATGGCAACAGCAACCAGGAATGTGTGTGTGTTGGGGGGGTTGGGGTGTAATTTGTCATTTTAATAGCCTGGAAACGTGTGTGAGCCTTTTATTTTGAAGGAGCTGGCTCAGTATTCAGTGTGAGTCTCTGGATGAAAGTGCTGTGATCTGATTGGATGGCAGCAGATTCCTGGAGACTGACAGAAACACCAACCAGACTGACTGACAGACGGTGCTGCCTACAGGCTGCAGAGGTCATTACACAGTGAGTATATACAGTTTATATTTATATTATAAATATAGAAAGATACTAACCTTTAGCTAATATAATTACTGTTATATTTCTTTGTTTTTACTTACTAATAATCTTTTCTTCTTATATTCATATTTGTACTTTTTCCTACTTCGTACTGTTTCCCTCCTTTCACACCTCTGCACAGTCTAGCGTCATCTAAACAATGTGACAGGAAGTGATGTCAGGAAGCTGTGAGTTTCCTCCACCTGATCACCGTCATCAGTCTCAGCTTATTAAAGATGTTTACATGTTCAGTGAGGTGAGTCAGCTAATGATGCTAATGATGCTGCTGCCCTGCAGAGCTAACAGAGGAGCCTTTAGCATCACAATCAGCTCGTTAACGAGCAGCTGTTACTGTCAGATTCCACCACTATACAACATCATATGTGCATATAGACAATGTAAAGTATAATAACCATTATTATTATTATCTACCTCAACCTGTGAGTATAAATATATTCAATCATCTGTTCTCAGTAGTGGTTCATTAACATCTGTGTCTTATCGGGATATATGAATAGACAGCAGGACAGTGTGAGAAGGGACAGTTTGAAAAAAAAAGTTTATTCCTTGTTATTTTTAAAGCATCAGTTTAAAATCATCAAAACAATCAGGAACTTCCTGTTCTGCTGCTCTTCGTCACTCACTTTAACTCTAATTTACTTCTGCATTCCTTTTCTACACATTGGGCCTCATGCAAGAACCTTCTGGTATTCTTATCTTAACTTGCTTGGACTTTGTTTCGTACAAGTCTGCCACGTCAGGTTTGGCAAATGCTCCTAACTTCAGATTTCTGTGTAAAAATGATGAACGCCACCTGTGTGTAATGGAGTGTGTTCAAGAGAAATGAACATTTCTATAAGCAACGTTCCGATAATGCCATGTAAGGCTCCAGGAACTGCCCCACCAGTTAGGAAGTTGATCCATTAAATGGTAGGAAGAGTAAAAAGAAGAAGTTTACGAGCTCAGAGATTGAAGTCCTGCTTTCTGAGATCAACAAAGGAAAGTCAGTTAATCATTTTTAACGGCGTCAGCAGTGGAATTAAAGGAGCTGTGTCACCTGAGGGTCGGACTGCTGCTGAAATCAAGAAGAAGAGGTTTGATATGAAAAGCAAGGCGATGGATGAGTGCAGCGGGAGGGGGTGGAGGGAAGATAGAGAAAAAGAATACGGTAAAAGGTGATGTTGCATTTGTCAGGTATTGCAACAGAAAGTCCCCATCAATAGTTTCCATTAATGAGGTTACGTTAGGCTGATGATACATTTACAACTATATTCAAATTCAGACTGGATCATGACAACTGAATTATGAAATGTAATTTGCATAAATGTCTGTGAAATAATGCAATATACAATCCTTCAGTTGATAACAGCAGACTGATTGACTCCTACCAGAGTCTGGACCTCGTAAACTGTGTTAATACTGAAGAGGAAGTTCAAATTAAGATAAGATTCAAAATAGTAGAAAATTGGTGAATGCCACAAGGTCTCCTAAATCAGTCGTACAAGCCACTTATGAACGAATATGTTCAAATGAGTGGTTCTTGCATGAGGCTCATAGTCTCTGCTTGAGGCTCTACACAGCAGCTGGCAGCTGATTGGACGAGGCAAGGGACTGTCATCTTAAAGAACCAGGAACAGCCTTTTCTTCAAATTGTTCCAGTTTAAAACCATTTTAATCTCAGCTGAACGACAACAGTCCTGCTAGTGAAGAGACACTCCAGCTGAACTGAGAGGAAGAACCAGAGGAGACACCATGGATCTGGTCTCACTGCTCCTCCTGGTTGGCGAACATTCCAGCCTCCCAGCGCAGAGCTCGTTGGTTTTTATGTCGAATGACCCGAGTCGACTCAACAACCTGAAAACAGATGAGACAAAGAAACAAAAATACAAGTAGACAAAGCAATAAAGATACAAAGAGACAGACAAGAAGAACCAGGTGTTGCAGTGGACTGAAGTCGGGTTGTACCTCATTGTTGACGTCGTCCACCGGTTGGATTCCTGCGTACTGAAGACACAAAAACACAAACTTACAAAGTCTGACAATGATCATCAGTTACATTTGCATCCCAGCTTTTATTTTGGTAGTTTTAGTTCTATTCCTGTTACAATAAAGTTTCTCTCAGCAGATTAATATTAGAGTCCACTGAAACCAGCCTGATGTCAGAGAACATACACGTTAATGCTTGACTGATCAGATTAACAGACGATACTCTGAATTATTTAATCATTAAAAAGTGAATTCAAACAGTAAAATGTCATGAAAACAGGAAACATTACATCAGCATTAGTGTCATTCACTTGTTAATGTTCCATTAACCTGCTGAGTCAACTTTTATTCTGACAGGATGAAGCACAAACCCTCCAAAATGAGACTAATAATACATAAATAATATATTTAATATTTAATCACCAATAATGAATAATCAGGAAGTACTGGTGACTCACTGAGCTCTCCTCCAGTTTCAGCTGGACTCGTCGCTCCTCAAAGTCCTGCAGCAGAGTCTCTGTCAGACCTCTGAGAGGAGGGGGGACCGGCCGGACCACCACAGGGAAGGAGGAGGAGGAGGAGGAGGAGGAGATGGGACGAGAGGGGGAGGAGGGGCGAGGAGTTGAGGAGGTCCAGGGCTGAGCAGTGATTAAGGAGATGGAGGGTAGACGGACGAAGGGACGAGGAGAGGAAACACTGACGAGTTTATCTGAAACAGGAAGGAAAATACCTGACATCATATGTGACACTATGATGTCAGCAGGACCGATCGGTTTCATAGTTTAATGATCTGATGAGTCGTCTGGTGTTTTGGTCTGATGGTTTTTGTGTTTAAAACCTGGCGACTGGTTACTGATTGACACAAAGTGAAGCTGTCGGACTTTGGTCGTTCTCTCATTAAGTTACTGATTGTGTGCAGCAAACAGCAGCTTCCACACCAGACTCCATTTGCATTTCAGTCCGTTTGTTCTTCATGTCTCAGTTACTGGAAACACAAGTTCAGTGGAGGTGGAACCAGTAAGCTGCAACCACCGAGACAACAAGCCAAAATGTCACTTTTATTGTGAAAGTCCTACATGTTAGAGGTTTTCTCATTCACTTGAATACAGTCAGAGTTTGATGACAGCAGCATCCAATGGACATTAGAGGAACTACAGTAAGACAATCTGCACTGTGATTAAAAGTTTGAGTAACCCCAAAGCTTCTCTCTCATGCATGTATTACAAAGAACTGGATACAGCATTGGGGGCAGGCTCTGTTCAATCCTATAGAAGCTAGTTAGTAGCGCATGAAGCCAAAAATTTGAAAGGAAATGGCGCTCTCGTATGCGGTATATCATGTTCAACCTGGCAAGAAAGTAAAAAACCTATAGAAAGGCCCGCCATAATGCCAGAGGTGCCTATAACTCAGCACTAATAGAAGAAAATAAGAACAATCCTAGGTTCCTCTTCAGCACTGTAGCCAGGCTGACAGAGAGTCACAGCTCTATTGAGCCACATATCCCCATAAACTTAAGTTTTCGACTTTATGAGCTTCTTTGATATTATTATTATTATTATTATTATTATTATTATCATCATCATTCATTACTATTAGAGACAAAATGAATCACCAAATGCCCTCAACAGCTTTCACTGTCTCTCCAAGTTCAGGAACTTTAATTAATGTAAAATCAGATATACAGTATCTCACAAAAGTGAGTACACCCCTCACATTTCTGCAAATATCTATATATTTCATTATATCTTTTCATGTGACAACACTGAAGAAATGACACTTTGATACAATGTAAAGTATTCAGTGTGCAGCTTGTATAACAGTGTAAATTTACTGTCCCCTGAAAATAACACACAGCTGTTTATGTCTAAACTGCTGGCAACAAAAGTGAGTACACCCCTAAGTGAAAATGTCCAAATTGTGCCCAAAGTGCATATATTTTTGTGGCCACCATTATTTTCCAGCACTGCCTTAACCCTCTTGGGCATGGAGTTCACCAGAGCTTCACAGGTTGCCATTGGAATCCTCTTCCACTCCTCCATGACGACATCACGGAGCTGGTGGATATTAGAGACCTTGCGCTCCTCCACCTTCCGTTTGAGGATGCCCCACAGATGCTCAATAGGGTTTAGGTCTGGAGACATGCTCGGCCAGTCCATCACCTTTATCCTCAGCTTCTTTAGCAAGACAGTGGTCGTCTTGGAGGTGTGTTTGGGGTTGTTATCATGTTGGAATACTGCTCTGCGGCCCAGTTTCCAAAGGGAGGGGATCATGCTCTGCTTCAGAATGTCACAGTACATGTTGGCATTCATGGTTCCCTCAATGAACTGTAGCTCCCCAGTGCCGGCAGCAATCACACAGCCCCAGACCATCACACTCCCACCACCATGCTTGACTGTAGGCAAGACACACTTGTCTTTGTACTCCTCATCTGGTTGCCGCCACACACGCTTGACACCATCTGAACCAAATAAGTTTATCTTGGTCTCATCAGACCACAGGACATGGTTCCAGTAATCCATGTCCTTAGTCTGCTTGTCTTGTGGTGTATGGTCTGAGCACTGACAGGCTGACCCCCCCACCCCTTCAACCTCTGCAGCAATGCTGGCAGCACTCATACGTCTATTTTCCAAAGCCAACCTTTAGATATGACGCTGAGCACAAGCACTCGACTTCTGTGGTGGACCATGGCGAGGGATGTTCTGAGTGGAACCTGTCCTGTTAAACTGCTGCATGGTCTTGGCCACCATGCTGCAGCTCAGTTTCAGGGTGTTGGCAATCTTCTTATAGCCTAGGCCATGTTTATGTAGAGCAACAATTCTTTTTTTCAGATCCTCAGAGAGTTCTTTGCCATGAGGTGCCATGTTGAACTTCCAGTGACCAGTATGAGAGAGTGTGAGAGCGATAACACCAAATTTAACGCACCTGCTCCCCATTCACACCTGAGACCTTGTAACTATAACGAGTAAAATAACACAGGGGAGGGAATTGGGCCCAATTTGGACATTTTCACTTAGGGGTGTACTCACTTTTGTTGCCAGCGGTCTTCTTCATGTTCATCATCATCAGTCACTACTATTAGTGTAGTTGTTGCTACTGTTGTTGCTGTGCAACTGTCTGTCTGTCTGTGTCTCCGTCTCTCTCTGTCTCTCTCTCTCTCTCTCTCTCTCTCTCTCTCACCCCAACTAGTCGAGGCAGACAACCACCCACCTAGAGCCGAAGGGTCGGTCTGAGGTTTCTGCCTCTTAACAGGCAATGTTTCCTTGCCCCCGTCGCCAAGTGCTTGCTCATGGTGGTACTGTTGGGTCTCTGTAAATGTTATAAGGAGTTTGGTCTAGACCTATTCCATTTGAAAAGTGTCCTGAGATAACTTCTGTTATGAATTGGCACTATACAAATAAAATTGAATTGAATTGAATTGAATTGAATTTAGACATTAATGGCTGTGTGTTGAGTTATTTTCAGGGGACAGTAAATTTACACTGTTATACAAGCTGTACACTGATGACTTTACATTGTATCAAAGTGTCATTTCTTCAGTGTTGTCCCATGAAAAGATATAATGAAATATTTGCAGAAATGTGAGGGATGTACTCACTTTTGTTAGATACTGTATATTTAGTTTTTCTGCTATCAGTCTTCATAAGTTAACTTCAATAATTTCTACCGTGAAGCCGTCAACCTGTCTATTAGACCCCATCCCAACTAGGCTGCTTAAAGAAGTCGTACCCTTAAATGGCACTTCTTTACTGGATATGATCATTGTCATCTTCATCATCATCATCAGTCATTTAGTATAGTTGTTGCTATTGTTGTTGTCCCTCTCTCTCTCTGTCTCTGTTTCTGTCTCTCTCTGTCTCTCTCGCTCTCTCTCCCACCCACCTAGAGCTGAAGGATCTGTCCTAGGTTTCTGACTCCTAAAAGGCAGTTTTTCCTTGCCCCCATCACCAAGGTCTTGCTCATGGTGGGAGCTGTTAGGTCTCTGTAAATAATGTTATAAGGAGTTCAGTCTAGACCTGCTCTATTTGAAAAGTGTCCTGAGATAACGTCTGTTATGAATTGGCGCTATACTAATAAAATTGAATTGAATTGAGTATAGGCTGTAAAGGCGGACTAGTGAGTAGATATGTCTCCATGTTTTAATGTCACCGACAACCTCTGTAGTCTCATTTAGACACTTGTTAGCAGCAACCTTTTTAACACAACAAAGCTTCAACATTCACATATTGACGTATTTTATGTTGTAGAATAAAAATGGGAAAATCTCTTATAACCCTATTTCAGTCATCTTACCAAAAACCCATTCAAAGAACCCACTGACCTCAGGTGGGGGAACCAGAGGGGCAAAAATACTAACTCAGTTCAAGGTTTTATGACTCATTCCTGCAGCACTGGATTCAATCTAAAGTAATAAATTGGAAAAGCTTCCAGTTTCCTGGACGGTAACCCGACCATGATGAGGACTACATACCTGTGCTTACAGGTGGGTAGAACTGACTGACGGCCATCTTGGTTGCCTGTTCCACCAGAGGGGCCGGAGAGAATAGCTGGTGATCAGTTTCGTCCCTGGACTCCCTCAGTTCCCGCAGCTCCTGCTCCCGTTTCAGGACCTCCTCGATCTCCTTCTCAATGAAATCCGGAGCTCTTTGTCCACTGGACTGCAGGCCGGTGGACTCCAGGTTCTTCCTCCAGGACCGAGGCATGGTCAAGGTCGTGTCCGGCAGAGGAGTTGGGGACGAGAGAGAAGAGGAAGATGAAGAAGTTATTCGATCTTGGTGGAGACCTCTTGGGAAATCTGAGTCCCTCACAGAGAAGGAGGAAGGAGCTGAACTCATTCGGCTGATATACAACTCGGTTTCTTCGGGGTGTCGATGAGGACAGCAAGGTGACAGGAAGACTTTTCCAGGTCTTTCTTCTGTCCTCTTGTCCTCGTCTTGTTGGTCAAACTCCTTCTGTATGTGCTCCAGCTCCTGTGGAGGATCCAGCCCGTATCGTCCCTGCTGCTGAGGCTCCTCCTTCCTCTGGTTTTCCTTCTGGAGCTCACGCTGGATGATGAAGCTCACTCGGCTCTTCTCTTTGGCTTTAACAGGTGTTAAAGGCGACTGTAAACGTTTAGTTTTGATCTCTACCATCTCTGCTCTGCTGACACTGTGCTTCAGCCCTCGAGAGCGCCGCAGGTTTTCCTCGCGTTCCTGAACTAACCGGATCTCCCTTTCAATTGGCGTCTCATAGTCGCTCCTGTTGTCTTGCTGAGTGTTATCATTGAACACGCCTTCGTCACTTGTGTAGCCGCCACCCACCTCCACAGAAAGCTCCTCCAGGCCAGAGTCCAGGTCGTCGAACACACTGCTCTGCTGGCTAAGACTTTCCTCAGTCCGGCACACCGTCATCTTACTCTTTGGGTTGGTCTCCTCGTCCTCTGATGGTTTAAACTGTGTTGTATCTTCACTCATCTCCATGCGGTATGTCTCCACCTGACTTGATGAGGACGCATCCAGATCTGGCTGCAGAGATGCATTCAGATGTGTTTTTGAAGACCTCAGAGGGTTGAGGAGTGCTCTCAGCTGCTCCTGTTCCATCTTCAGGAACTGTTTTCGTGCAGCACTGAAGTTGATCTGCTCCTTGTCGATGGTCCCAGAGTCAGCAGTGCGGTGAAGTTCTGGTCTGGAGCTGGAAGGACTGTAGCTCACACTGAAACCATCTATCAGTTTGTTTGTAGATCGACTCAGATCCAGATTCTCCAGTGCACTCAGCTGGTCTTTAAATGTTGGGTTCTTCTTTGGTGCTTGGCTGCGAATGATCTCCTTTCGAAGCTCCTTCTCCTCTTCCTTCTGAACCACTTTGATGCCGTCGGACAGATCCACTTTATACTGCGTGTCTCCATTGCTCTCTGAGAACAGACTCTCTGGCTTCCTGCTGCTGGTGTAGGTCTGTAGTTTGAATCCTTTATCCTCCTTCAGGGTTGCCAACTGAGTCTGCCGCTGCGGCGAGACCATCCAAGCTTCATTCAGCTCGGCCTCCGGACTCGTCGGATCCTCCACAAAGGAGTAGAAACCGCAGTGAGAGCCTGAGCTGCTGCTGGGACTGCTGGGGATGCTGGGGCTACTGGGATGCCACTCGTCGCTGGTGCTCCCTCCATCTTGTGACACTGCCGCCTGTCGGGCCTGAACCACCACGTCCCTGGACCTGTCATCCTGCTGTGAAGAGATGACCACAGAGGACTGACTGCGAGCCACAGAGATGCTGTTGGAGGTGAAGACTGGATCGACCCAGTCGAGGCCGTCGGTCCGTGTGGGGCTGGTGATAGTGCGCAGGTCTGAGGGTTGCAGCAGGGGAGACAGAGGCTTCAGCACCCATCTCCTCGGGGTGCTGTCCATGGCTGCAGGGGGTGCTGTGGGGGCAGCAGAGGGCGCTGTGGGGGCTGCAGGGAGTGTTGTGGGGGCTGCGGGGGGCAGAGGATCTGATGGAGGAAGTTGCTGAACGGAGCTTGATGTTTTTAAACGCTGAAGAGTTAGAACATCCTGACAGACACCTGCAGAGAGTCTCTGAAACAACAAAGAGGACAGGTCTGTTACTATGGACACGACAGAGGACAGGTCTGTTACTATGGAAACGACAGAGGACAGGTCTGTTACTATGGACATGATAGAGGACAGGTCTGTTACTATGGAAAGGACAGTAATGGGTAACGATCCCTCGGTTGTGCAGCAGTTCTAGATGAGGTAATAATATAAAAAAATCTTCAACATGCCCAGAAACAATGAATGGTCGTGCAAAGCATTGTGGGATTCAGAGTCTTTCAGATGAAAATACAGTTAATGTTTAAACAGATGCTTCTTCTGTAACATAATTATATGTTAAAGGTATAATATTGAGATGTAGTGGAGTAGAAGTACTTGTGTTATCTGTAAGAAATAAATCTGAATAATCTGAGGAATGTCAATAAAGTTTACCAGAGCCCATCGATCAGCGATAACACAGTTTACAGCGTTGCTCATAAAGCCAGGATGGGACACATTACCACGGCAACCACTGTGTTATCATACAGTTGAGTCATATACCTGAGGTACTGTGAGTCCATGAACCCAGAACTGAAGGATCAATGAGGGTTATTGGACAGAATAAAATCAGTTCATCAGCGTTGATCTATAAATCATTAACCTCCTATCAAATATAGATTTTATTTCCTGTCAGTCTGAGTAAATGTGTTTGTGTTAAAATCATATCTGTTAGAATAATTGTATTTTTAATGTCCAAACAAATCAATAAAATGTACTGTGTAATGGCACCCTGTAAGGTTCATTATGGCTGACAAGAAGAATAAAATGAGTTATATAATAAATAAAGAACTAGAACACGTCAGTGTAACCATTACTCCCAATTTATTATTGGTATATAATAATCACTGTTTTATCATCAATCTATTTCCTCATTCTTTGCATTCCTACATGGGGACTCATTTTTCTGTATTTATTTAACTTTATTTTATGTCCCTCCCTCATGGAGCCCCTGTGGAGTTGGGTAGTGCAACCTGCGGCCTGCTGTAAAACTTGTTATGTTATATAAATCTGTTCTAGCTGAACAATGCAATGAAAAGTGTTATTTCTTTAAATACATTCAATATATTGAGAATTGTTAATCCCCCAAAGGAGCAGGATAAATCTTCCTCATTATCCCCACTGAGGTCCCCCCTGCTGTGGTTGTACGGGGGGGAGGTCCTTTGAATAAAAATGTTTTTGCCACATAAAGGGACAAAAAGCATCATTAGGTACCAATTCTGTATCAGAGGACATAAAGGGACACTTGTGTCAGTAGGACAAGTATAGCTGGAGGTCCTCTGTGATTGGACGCTTCCTACAGGTACCAGATGAAGACGAAGAGGACGACGAAGACACAAACTCACAGAACAACAATACAGACATATTTCATATGATCATCTGCAGCACTGAGCCAATCAGACGCTTCAGAAGTCTGTTAGAGGAGTTAGCGTTAGCATTAGCATCGCAGCGTTAATTCAGTGTGTCTGTGTGTCAGTGATAAGCCCCGCCCCCAGCAGTCTGACCACTGCTGATAACCCCCCCCCGTTTATCACACAGACAGACAGTCAGACAGGGAGAGAGACAGACAGACAGACAGACAGACAGGGAGAGAGACAGACAGACAGACAGTTAGTGAGACAGACAGGGAGAGAGACAGGGAGAGAGACAGACAGACAGACAGTGAGACAGACAGTCAGACAGGGAGAGAGACAGACAGAAGGTCAGGGGTCACTGTGTGGATCAAAACAAATGCTGAGGATGAAGAGAAAACTGTCTGCCTGCCTGTCTGTCTGTCTGTCTGTCTGTCTGTCTCTGTCTCTCTCTGTCTGTCTGTCTCTCCCTGTCTGTCTGTCTGTCTGTCTGTCTGTCTCTCTCTCTGTCTCTGTCTCTCTGCCAGTCTGTCTGCCTGTCTGTCTGTATTTTTATACAGAAATCATTTAAAACGTTGAAGTTTAAATCATCTGTTTGTCTATTTATTGATTTCTTATTGATTTTCTCTCATATTGATGATGCAGAGTCTGAAGTGACCAATATTAAACTGTAATTACTGTTTAATGTTCAGAGTAATAAATAAAACTAATCATCAGTGAATAATTAATTCATATTGTACGAATCAACCAGACTGAACTGCTGCTGTTCTTTCTTTCTTTCTACTTCAGTTATTATTGATGATTATTATTGGTTATTGACTATTATTGTTGGTTATTAAAGATGATTTGTTCTTAAAATATTGTTTTGTTAATAAGATATAAATAATAAAAGCAGTTTGTCTCACCTGAGATCAGTTTCCTGTCAGCAGCAGCAAAAACTGTCAGACTGAAGAACTGAGAGACAAAGTTCAACTGCTATCGTCCAATCAGAGACTCCGCCCCACACACACACACACACACACACACACACACACACACACACACACACAGTAACACAGTAACACACACACACACACACACACACACACACACACACACACACACATATACACACACACTACATATATTATATATATTCTTTATATAATGCAGTTTATTGTTTGTTTATTTTTATGTGTGTGTTGATTTCTGCTGCCCTCTGCTGGTCTGTATTATTATATTATTTCATTGTTGTTTATGTTTATTTCTTGGTCACACACAAACACAACCATCTGACATCACTTCCTGTCTGAGCTCAGGTTGCATGAGGTCTCACCTTGGTGTCGTGGTCCAGACTGTAACAAAGAACCTGCCAGGGGGGCGTGTACCTGAACATCCTGGTCCTACTGATCCCTACTGGTCCTACTGGTCCTACTGGATCTGACTGGTCCTACTGGTCCTACTGGTCCTACTGGATCTGACTGGTCCTACTGGTCCCTACTGGTCCCTACTGGTCCTACTGGTGATGATGATGTCAGTCAGACCCTCAGCCAGCAGGAACCAATCAGCATCCACCCTGCAGAGACAAGAGGACGTGTTTAAGTCCTGAATTATGTAACCTTTGTTGTTGTTGTGGCATCCAATCAGAAATCAAACTGTGAGAATATCATAACTCATTTTATTGTTGTTGTTGTTGTTGTTGTTGTTGTTGTTGTTGTTAACACTGTAATGACAGTTTAACAATAAACAGAAAGTTTAATTTATATGTTTACATGTTTACATGTTTTAATGTCAATCTGTACTTTCATACAAACATGTTTATTTTAAATAAAGTAAAAACAAACGCAAACATTCTTCATCCAATCAGAGTTACATGTTTACAAACTTCAGTGACGTGAACAGAGGGGTATTGCACAAAAGTAGGATAAAGAAATCCAGGATAATTGAGCAAGCGCGGCTTGACCTAGCATACTCGGTACTTCCTGGCTTAATCGGTTGCACGTTTGCCGAGCCAGGATGAAAAGGTGCGGCTATGTTAAGCCAGGTGTAGATAGTCGGGATAAGTGTGTGTTCACAGCATACTGAAATAGACCTCGCGATTGCTCACAGAATCACCGATGGGAACATGGATAAGAGTCGCCGGTAAATATTTCACGGCCGCTGAACAACAGCTCCTGATGGAGTTCTATGAAGAGGTGGAAGATATAAGAAACAAAGGCAATACCAATACCATAATTAAAGAAAGAGAGAAAGCCTGGCAGACAATAGCGGACCGGCTTAATGCTTAAGTAGTCCAAAACTGTACAATGAATAAACAGTGCTCCACTGGAACTGTCATCATTAGGCTCCAATTAAAGGACTAAAGGAGTTACTTTAAGTCCACTAATCAACTGTTGTACACTTTGCTTTAAATGTGGCAAGTAGAGGTGCATGTTACTTAAATGTAGAGTATGATTAAGTGCAAACAATTCATAAAGAACAAACTTGTCTGGCCGCAAGTTACATTAAAAATGTTTTAAAAAGTTAAATACAAGAACATTTTGCAGGCTGGTCAGTGACTATAAAGTAGATAACAGTGAACAAATGAGGTGAATAGATTAGGTGTCTGCTGACATGTTGAATGTCTGTATGATTGTAGCAAAAAAAAAAGAAAAAATGGCACAGGGGGCGGCCCACCAAGCCAGGATATGTGCTGCTAATGGTTCCTTTATTGAGGTTCTCTGCATCCCCAACAGAATAAAGGAAGCTCCCACTTGCAAAACATCTCAATGTAACACAGACCATCTGTGGTACAGTGAGAGCATGGCTTCCTGCCGTCTGGTGCTGTATTTTTGGACCCAGCAGCCTACATAAATATCTTAGTCCATCACCTGAGAATCTGTATCTCTCAATGAGATAGTCCTCTCCAACGGCCAATGGGTCTGACCTGTCCCAGAAGACTCTTTCATGACTAAATGCTTATCTGAGGTTTAGGGCTTCCTCATCCGGTACATCCTCCAAGAAAGGGCAAGCCATTATGAAGAAGGAACAGGTGAATGGGAGTTGGATAGATAGATAGATAGATAGATAGATAGATAGATAGATAGATAGATAGATAGATAGATAGATAGATAGATAGATAGATAGACAAAATTCCAATGTAACAGCAGCAAAGTGGATAGAGAGAAAACAGTATAAATAAACAGCAAGAGTAGGGAAATAATAAAAAACACTATGTACTAGAGGTATATATATACATATATATATATATATATATAATAAAAAACTTCCCTCTCACCCTCTTGGGGTGGTATCTGTGTCATCCTCAAGCAAGGGTCCTCTACCAGAGGCCTGCGAGTTTGAGGCTTCTGCACAGTATCTTAGCTGTTCCTAGGACTGCGCTCTTCTGGACTGAGGGTTCTGATGTTGTTCCTGGGATCTGTTGGAGCCACTCCCCCAGTTTGGGGGTCACTGCCCCGAGTGCTCCTACTACCACGGGCATCACGCTCGCTTTGACCTTCCACACCTGCTCCAGCTGTTCTTTCAACCCTTGGTACTCTTCAACCTTTTCGTGTTCCTTCTTTCTGATGTTGGCATCTGCATCTATCACCACCGCTATCTTCTGCTCCTTGTCTACCACCACTATGTCTGGTTGGTTGGCCAGGACCTGTTTGTCAGTCTGGAAGCTGAAGTCCCACAGCACCTTGGCCCTGTTGTTCTCAGCCACCTTCTGTGGTGCGGCCCATTGGGATTTGGGTTCTTCTATTCCAGACTGGGTACAGATGTTCCTGTACACTATTCCAGCCACTTGGTTGTGTCACTCCATGTACGCTGAACCGGCTAGCCTCTTACACCCTGCTACTATGTGCTGGACTGTCTCAGGGGCATCTTTGCATAGTCTGCACCTTGGGTCAGATCTACTCTTGTAGATTTTGGCCTCTATGGCTCTTGTACCTAAGGCCTGTTCTTGTGCTGCCATGATCAGTGCCTCTGTGCTGTCTCTGAGTCCAGCCTTTTCCAGCCATTGGTAGGTCTTCTCGATATCAGTCACTTCTTTAATTTGGCGGTGGTACGTGCCATGTAGGAGCTTGTCCCTCCAGGTTGTCTGCTCCTCTTCTTCTTCTGCTCTCTTATCGGGTTTCTGTTGCCTGAGACATTCACTTAGCAGTTCATCCTTTGAAGCCATTTTTCTGATGTACTCTTGGATTTTTTATGTTTTTTCCTTTCAGCCAGTAGGCATGGATCATATTGGGGCCTGGTGCTGTCCAGCTCTTCATCTTTGACAATCTTTCTTGGATGTCTGCCATTGAGATGGTTACTGGTTCTTGTTCTGGGAGGTTGCTGTGGTCTGCTCTTAGGTCCACTAGCCATTGGGCATCTGGGTTGTGTGATGCCTCTTTTTCCCATATGGCCTTCCAGTATTCTTCCACCTCAGCTCTTGGTGGGTCTGACCTGTTGTTATTTCCTCCCTGCCACTGAGAGTACACCTTGGCTGGTTCAGTGGAGAACAGCTTGTTTATTCTCCTGGCCTCTGCCTCCTTGGTGTATCTCTTCAACTGGGTGGCCAGTACTGTTTGTGTTTCTGTTTGGTAGTTTCGAGCGCTTCAGGTATGGAGAGCTTGGTGTATTTCCTGGGTGCCCCTTTATTCACCATGTTTCCTTTCTGTAGCTCTGCTAGCTGGCTTACTTCTCTCCGTGTTGCCCTTATCTTGGCCTCTAATCATATTCTCAATGGTGGATGTTTATGGTTTGAGCCCATCCTGTATCCAAGCATTTCTAGGGTTACTAAAGGTACTTTACAAGTCAGCTTCGGTATTCGTCGGGGGTTCCAGGTTTCTAATTGGGCCATGATCTTAATTCTCAGGTCAGCAGCTCTTGTACGGAGGCTGTTGGTATTTGTTGGGGCTTGGTACCCAATCTCTGATTGTGGGGGTGATGGTGGCATCCCCCCGCTGACCTGTCGTCCTGGTGCCCCCTCGCCGTAGCATCGTTGTTGTATCTCATCGATCTCTAGTTGTGATAGGAGTTTTCGATTGCAGATGTTGGAACACTGGGCTAACAGCTGTTTCATTGTTAGCCTTGATTGTGGGTTTCGAAGTAACCATTGGTTCCACATTCGCTGCATGTATCCGTTCTCTCTGGGGTTGCTCATATAGTAGGATTCCAACAGTTCCGTGTTTTCCGCCCTTGTCCATCTATGTCTTGTTCCAGTAGCCCATTTCTCATCAGGTTGCCCTGGTTCCCTAGCACCTGACGCGGACCTTGTTAACCCGGGCGACGTCCGAGCCGGTGCGACTCTATCATTTGTCTATACTTTCATGTTGCTGAGGTAGGCCTGATACATTAAGGATCTTGCCCAAGGATCCTCACTGGATGCAGTTGTATTTGCCCCTCACTGGCAGCAATTATATCATATATGCTCCAGAACCGGGACCCGAACCCCGTCCCCCATGTGGCAGCCTGCGTCTCTAACCGCATATATATATATATATATATATATATATATATATTGCCCTTGTCACAAATTTAATTGAAAATACCTTTGCAACTTCATCAGCTGTGTTTTGTAATCTCAATTACTGCAATAAAACACATATTTATGAAACCTCTGATGGCATTTTGACAAGCAGTCTTCATTAGCATAGCAATATAACACTTGGCCTGAGTAATAATACTACCTCTTGAATCAATATAAAAAGACTGTTGCAATTACAAACAGCCAACAGATTTAAATGAAATGAGAAATGACAATATATATGTAATATTTTAATGTAGAATAATTAAAATGATGCAACATACTTAGAAAGACCATGGACATGCTGTAAAACACATTAATTCCTCACAGGATTGACGATGGAAATACAGGTGAATCACTAGGATTAATCTTAGCCTGGCTGTTAGTCTGGTCTGGAGCAGGCTAGCTGCAGAGAATAAATCACCATAGTAACTTGGCCGGGATAAGTTTGACCTGCTTTCATGCAGCCGACTTGAGGCTAAATTCAGCCAGGATAACCAACATATCCCGGCTTAATCCCTTATCTTGGTTTTGTGCAATACCCCTCAGAAAATATTTGTTATAGTTGTTTACTGTTTGTGTCAGCAGAGCTGTCAATCACGGCAAACTGTCGTCCAATTATATTGCCTGACTGCTGGAGGTGGGCGGGGCTTACATACATTCTTTACATTGTCACAAACTGATCAATAAATTCTTCCAGCAGCTGATTAGAGACAGGAAACAGACAGGTAGATAGGTGATGTCATGTTGATGTCACACAGGTTAGAGCAAACAGAAATAAGCAAACAGAGACTCACCGGTTCAGGTCCAGGTCCAGGACTGATCCAGACTCTGTGTGTGTGTGTATGTTGCTGTGTGTGTGTGTGTGTGTGTGTGTGTGTGTGTGTGTGTGTGTGGTCAGTCATTGTGTGTGTTTCTGTTGGTCAGCAGCATTCCTGACAAATTCTGCTGCTCAGCAACTACATCACTTCCTGTTGGGGGCGGGGGGGGGGTCCTTTATATTTTGAAGAGGAACTTCCTGCCGGGGGCAGCACTGAGCCCCATTTAACAGGTTATCATGACAACAGGAGGTGGCTGCTGGACAATGCACAGATGGGGGGAAAGGAGTGTTTGGTAATCGTGGTAACCAGAGTTAGGGCCGCTCTCGGGGTTCACAAACACATAAATTACAGCAACATAAATCTGAGTTATATAAATATTTATGTAAATATATATAAAAGGACAGTGTCTGTGGCACGCCTCCACCCACTGAAGGTCAACACAAACAGGAAGTGATTTATGGACTAATTCAGTTTCTGTCTCAGCAAAAAATAAACCAGCGTGAAGCATCTGAACCTGCTGAGATCTTTATAAACCACCTCAGTCCAGTTCTTATTGGGTTGGTTTTTGGACATTTTCTCTTCTTGATGTTAGTGAAAAGTTGGTTTACAGTGGTTCAAACAGCAGCCTGTGGGCCAAATCTGGCCCTCAAAAAACCCTTTACATACGTTTCCATAAATCTACAGCAGGTAACAATGTACGGCTCACATACATCCCTCATAATGATGCATCCCTCATAATGTCTTCTAATAATAAATAATTTGCAGTCAACAACAACAACAACAACAACAACAGTACTTTCATTCCACAATTATGTATAATCTATAGTTAAACAACCATTAACTTTATCATCACAGGATCAGTTGGTCTCATACTGCAGTGCGAATACCTCAGTGTAGTTTCTAGCTTTTTGTTTGAAACTAAAGGTTATTTTTAACTTTTAAAATCAATGGAGTTTGGAATGTGTGACATCTTGAATATACACATACATATACATCATTTCTCCTGTAATCTATTCATAGATCGAACTCCTTATAGCATTATTAACTTCCTTTAAGAGGCAGAAACGTTGGACGGACCCCGACTCTGTGCGCCTCGTTTCATGAGTTTTCAGGCACGGTAAAGCCTCCAAATATGCGAGTCATTTGTTTCTAAAATAATAGTGAAGATCCTTCCATTTGGGCCTTGCCGGTCGTGCTCGGCCCTTAATATATTCCGTATTTGAATGGCGTCAGCAGGACCTGGCGGGGCTCCCCAGGATCCTGAGAACCTGCGACGAGCCGAACTCCGGGGAAGAAGTGGGGTTGTAACATGCATTAATGGGACATGAATATGTGCAGAAGGAGAGGAAGGAGGAGCTCGTGCACCATGGGAAATCCCCGTAGTCTGGCCTATGGCATAACTAAGGGATGGTTCGGACTCCTGATCCGCCTAACTATAAGCTTTTCAAGGGAATGTCTTAGCCTCTCTTGATGTGGTGGTGTCGCTCCAACCACACTGAGCTGGTTCCACGGGGGGCTTGGTACTGGGCTCTGGCTCCTGTTCTACTTTTAGGACTATAGGAACCACGTGCCCCTTCGACGTGTGTTCTGGGGGTTGGGTACTTGGCTCTTTAAGATATGGGGCCTCCTTTTATAGTGGGGAGGATTTTAAATTCTATTCTACATTTTACAGGGAGCCAGTGCAGAGAAGCTAGTACAGGAGAGATGTGATCTCTTTTTCTAGTTCCTGTCAGTACTCGTGCTGCAGCGTTCTGAATTAATTGGAGCGTTTTAATGGACTTATTGGGGCAACCTGATAATAAAGAGTTGCAGTAATCCAGCCTTGAAGTAACAAATGCATGGATTAGTTTTTCTGCATCTGTCTGTGATAGTATGTGTCTAATTTTTCTAATATTACGTAAATGAAAGAAGGCAGTCCTAGAGGTCTGCTTTATGTGGGAGTTAAATGACAAATTCTGATCAAAGATAACTCCAAGACAGTGGTGCTAGAGGCCAAGGTAATGTGTAATGAGTAACAATATCTTTAGACAGTGAGTCTCTGAGGTTTTTTGGCCAAGAATGTCGAGTTTAACATCAGAAAATTGCAGCTCATCCAGCTTTTTCTATATGTGAGAGCAGAAACAACATTTAGAGCTTCATTTTATTCGGTTAAAGATCAAATTCAGCAGTTATTCCACCTTAATGTTAACATGTGAAATTAAGGTATCGTCTTTAATAAGTACTAATAATACTAAGATTAACTAGTGGTTCAGAACATAATAGTTATTAAGTTTGCAGTTTGCAGCGTAATGCCAGAGTCCATTCACAAACTGAAGGAATAACATTAATGATAGTTTACATTCTTTAATTCAGCCAGCATCAAATTGTGGTGATTTAAGGTTTTTCCTGAAATCATCAGTCATCATAGACTGCTGATCTTCATATTGATTAAGGCTGTACATATTTTTTACATGTCAGTTGATTTATTCGTCATGTTCTCAGGATGTCCACAGTCCATCCGATAAACACATGGATCATGTTACTCTCAGGACCAGCTGATCTGTTTCTTCTTGTTGTCGCTTTCTGTCGGCCATCTTTGTTGTGTCGTCACCGTGGCAACCGTCCGTCAGCAGATCAGTTCAGATCTGTTGATGGAAAACATGAAGCCATTTTAACCTGAAGTGTGTCCGTCTGTCTGAGGACGTCTCGCTGCATCACATCAGAGCCAGCGATTAATAAACTGCAAAAGGAAACAAAATGAAACAAAAAGCTGCGTTTACTGACGGAGGGAAAAGATGGAGAAAGGAACAACATGGCCGCCGTGAGATGGGATGAGTCAGTGAGTGAGGTATAATGGATAGCACTCACTGTCTGTCTGTCCTCCTCTTTGATTGGATGGATTCTGATGAATGTGGTTGTTCCCCTCAGGATTCTAATAACTTTATTGATCCTCTTAGTTCTCCTCTAGCGCCATCATCAGGTCAACATTTTCATTAATGGAACAAGACTCTGTACATGGTGAGCATGTTAGTATGCTGATGTTAACATTTAGCTCAACATGACAGACTGCAAAACTAATTTTCACTTCTGAACCTTTAGTCTGATAGTTGCTTTACAACCGAGCAGATCACATGATGTCCTCTACATCTAGATGGGTGGCATCGGGTGTTTTAACATATTGAAGGTCCAGTGTTTACCCTGAGGAGGATTCATTCATCAGTGTAAAATCACTTGTAAATAAGAATTGTTGTTTTCGTTACCTTAAGGCCCTGACGCACCGGACCAATGGTGGGCCATCAGTTCATCAGTGACCGTCTTTAGTTTGAGGTTTTGTGGCCCTCACTGATCATCAAACACACAGATATAGATATATATAAGAACCAGCAGCTGTTTTATGAACAAACCTCCATCCATTGAGCTGCTGTTGCTTCTGCAGACTGCCGCCACCTGCTGGTACGGACAGTTATTACCCCTCATGCAGGCGCAGAACCTAAATTAATTCACCTAACTTCGATTGATGATTTTGTTTCATTGATGTTTGAGTGAAGCACCGTCAGCGTGTTGCCATGGAAACAGAAACAGAGCAGAACTAATGCTGTTGGGTGAGTTTTCTTTTTAATTCAGCATGTTTGTTCTGTAATGTGATGTTCATGAAGTATTCTGTGATTTAGAGGCTCAGTTGCCTCACAGAGCTCCATTGAGGATCATCAGCGAGCACTGGAGCTAGCTGTTAGCTGCTAGCTGTTAGCCATCTGTAGCACCTCAGCAACAACTCACTGCCACAATGTAAGCGTTATCATTAACTGAATACTGCTGATCAGTCTGCTGCTTTCATGTCTGAGCTTTAAGAGCTTCGGCAGTGGTATCGTGATGTGGTGGACGATGAGAGAGTCGAACAGAAATACAAGATCAGTTTCTTCCATTCGACACTGAGTCGACCCGTCAGGTCACTTTTATTTCCTCTTTTATAAAACCCCAAAAAAAGCTGAAAAGACTCCAACAAACAGAATCCTAGAGTGAAATTCTGCAGCAGGAAAATCAAAGAAATACAAATCTAAACTGAATTCACTTTTATATCATTGAGCTTATAAAGAGAGAGAGAGGAGTTAGTGTTACCAATGGCTGCATGGCTAGTGCTAATGCTAATGCTAATCAGATGCATTGAGACGACACAACATGAGGAGTACAAAAGTAAAAAGGCTACAAGAAAATAGAAAAAAGTAAAGAAAGGTTTTATAAAACAGAATGAAGAAACAGGAAATGATGTCATGTTGTTAGAGGCGGGGCTGAGGGCAGTGGGTGGAGTTTAGTTCCTATAGTTTTTGTCCTGGAAAGTCTCTGTCCTTTGTATTTTTTATATCATAATATTATATTTCAAAGCAGTGCCACCTGCAGGATCACATGACGCTGCAGCACTTACACGGCTGCTTCTCCTTCTTTATCTCCACCGCTCCTCCTTTCGCCTCCACCGCTCCTCCTTTCGCCTCCACCGCTCCTCCCTTCGCCTCCACTGCTCCTCCCTTCGCCTCCTCTGCCTCCCCATTACTCGCCACTACCGGCGCCTCTGGAGGTTTGGTAGAGGGCAGCTTGGTGGCTGCGGCGGGGGGAGGCACAGCTGTGGTCTCCTCCTTCCCTTCGCCCGGCGATGTTTTCCCGTTGGCGTCGTCGATGAGCACTAGCTCGGCCTTCACCGTCCCCTGC